AAGATTATCTAAGCTTCCTCTTAGATGCTGACTAGAGAATCTCTTTTGTTCATAGTTGAAATAGTGAGGTATTATTTTTATTGTTATTATTATTCTTTAAAATTTTTAAATTTTTAAAAATTTATTTTTTTTAAAGTTTAATTTTATTGATCTTATCTTTAAACCTTATATATTTTTAAAACTTTAATTTCAAATGACTGAATTAAATTATTTGATTAGACAATTATTAGCAAAACTTTGCTATCTAAAAAGGGTCTGTGAAAAATTTTAGACATTAAGCAGTTGTGAGATAATAGTTTAGATATATGTACCTAGTTGATCTTTAGGTCAAGAGTTCAAATCCAGCTTAGGGTGTAGCAATCCTAACTGATAAGTATAGGTGGTGCCCCTTAAGTTACAATATTTGCTATCTTTTTACTTTATTATTTTATTTGATATTACTATTTATTCGAGCAATAGTAATCTTATTTTAATACCTTTATTATACTTTAAGTACCATCTTTCGCTATAGAAAGTACTTGGAATCTCTTACTATCTACACCAGTTTTTCTTGATTTATACCCCCCAGGTATACTGTATAGCAGAGGGTATACTATATGGGGAATCTTGTGTACAGGGTGTACATATTATAGAACAATTTGTCTAGTAAAAGACCTCTCCAAGCTTTTAATTTATATATGTCACGAATATAAAATCTTGTTTACTATAATTTGTTGTATTTTTAACAATCAATCCCGAAAGTTTTTAACAATCAATTTCTAAAGTTTTAATAGTCGACCCCCAAAGTTTATAATAGTCAATTCCAAAGTTTTTAATAGTTAAACTTTATTTAAATATGGAACAAATAAGATATACACCTATAACAAGACTTCAAATAAAAAAACGTCAATAGACAGCACGTGAAAAACTTTATATTCTTACATATCTTGATAGGTAGCAATATAGATTCTAGTTAGTTTGTTCAATTCTATGTATTCATTAATTAGTTTTTTTTACAATAAATGTATAAGCAGAGTTTTAGGTACTACTATTCGTAGTACTGCTGATAAATTTGGAATTCAGCTGAAACAAATAAGAGAATGGCATAGTAAAAAGCAAGAGCTCATGCTTGCACAACCTCATATTAAGTGTTTAAATAGTGGTCCACGGTCTGCTTATCCTGAACTTGAATTAGAACTTGCAACATGGGTCAAAAATTTATGCAATAATTTAAAGCCTGTTAGTCATTCTATAATACAAACAAAAGCAGCTAGTTTAGCTAGTTTACCACAATATACAAATCAGTTTCCTCATATTAGTTCATTTAGGTGGAGTAATAAATGGTTAGATGGTTTTATGCATTGTTATAAATTTAGTAATCGTCACAAAACTATAGTTGCACAACACTTACCTACAGATTTAGAGGCTAAGCAACAAGAATTTTTAAGTCTTATTCAATATTGTTGTATTCAACATGACTATCCATTATTATTAATTGGAAATATGGATGAAACACCACTTACTTTTGATATGCCAAATAATGTTACAGTTGATACTATAGGAAATAAGACAGTTGGTATTAGAACCTGTAGGCATGAAAAATCTAATTTTACTATAGTTCTTGGTTGTATGGTGGATGGAGCTAAATTACCACTAATAGTTATTTTCAAATTGAAAAATATTCCACGGCATAAATTTCTACTAGGCATAATTATTCGTGCTAATGAAAAAGAGTAGATGAATATTGAGGAAATGATTTATTGGATTGACTATGTATGGAATTATCGTACACCAAATGCTAAAAATCCATGATCATTACTTGTTATGGATTCTTTCCAAGCACATATAGTATCTTCTGTTAAAAAATATATTTCAGAAAAAAATACTAACCTTGTTGTTGTTCCTGGAGGCTTAACGCCAAAAGTTCAACCTCTTGACGTTGCAATCAATAAATCATTTAAGTCAAAGATTTATTTATTTATTTTTTTTTTATTAATTTATTTATAAAATTTTAATTTTAATTTAATAGGTTAGAAAGTTTTATAATGATTGGATATCTCAAGAAATAAAAAAATTAATTCCAACTGGCAAAATTCAACGTCCAGCATATAATGTTATTGCTAAATAGATTAAAAATACATAGGATTCTGTTGATATACAGCTTATTCAATGTTCTTTTAAATGCTGCAATGTATCAACTATGATGGATGGATTAGAAGAAGATATGATCTTTGATTATAATAGCTTAGGTAATTATAATATATAATATTATTTATATAAATTAATTATTAATCGAAATTTTTAGTTCATTGAAAATAATATTCTATACAGATGGGTTTGAACATTATAATACTAGTGATCTGTTTATAGTAACGAAGAAGCTTTTGAAGAGTCTAACTCCATAATTCAACAAAATCAAGTATCCTTTGTGATATTTGATGAGAATCAAGAATATAACGAGTTTGAATCATATTATATTTCACAAGAAGCAGGCAATTATATAAACTAGTGGGATTAAATTTTATATCGATATTAGGTATGAATTCAATTTATAAGTTCTGCAAACATAAATTAATAATTATATTAAAAATATTTATTATAAATCGATAGACTATAGTGAACTTTATAATATGGTTTTGCAATATAGTCATAGTGAAAATTTAAAAAGCAAATTTTATATAAAAGCAAATTCTATAAAACTGCAATAGATAGATAAATTACATATTGCTAAATAAATAAGCAGTGGCAAATTTATTAAATATAAATATTTTTGATTATATTTGGTATTTTAAATGTTATTGTTATTGATAATAAAATAAATATCATTGAATTTTTACATTGAATATATAAGAATCGAAAGAGCTTTAAATATACTGTTGAATTTTTTTAAATATTATGATAAAACTGGTACAGTAATATACCCGGTCTTGTACTAAAAATACAGGTTATAGACCTAGTAATATACCCGGTATAAATCAAGGGGGGTACAGTCAACCAGGGGGTACTCTACAAGGCGAAAGACGGTAAGATTTGAAAATTATTGTATGCCAATCAATAAAAAATATTGAATTCGATCAATAAATCAATATCGATATGTAATCGAACAATTGAATTTTGAATTGAGGTAATCCCCTTACTATCAAATTTTAGCCAATCAACGCAATCCTATGAAAAAATATATGACCGACTTTTTTTCAGAACCATCTGGGCTAATTTGTTTAATGATCTAAATACGTAGCGATAGTGGATGTTGTGTTACTAAATACTGTACTATGATATCGTATAAAATTTAGTCATTGCAATTTTTTTTTTTTTTTTTTTTTTTTTTTTAGTAATGGCTACTACCAAATTTTTTGAAAAGCTTTCAAACAACTTAAGTGACATCCTTATAAATAGTGACGAATATAATGTTATCATCGAAGTTGGTCAAGCACCGAATAACAAAGTTTTTAAAGCACATTCTATAATCCTAAATTCTCGATGTTTATATTTTAAAGATAAATTAAATACAGTAGCTTATGAAAATGGTATTAAAATAATTAAAAAAAATCGATATTTCTGTTAAAGTATTTGAAATTATAATTAAGTAAGAAACAATAAAGAAATAATAAACGGTTAAAATTTAATATTAAAATTTTTTTCTTTTTTTGAATAAATAGGTATATCTACGATGGAACAATATCATTAGTGAAAGTTGACACTTCTGTTGTTTTTGACCTTTTAATCGCTTCTAATGAATTTGGTCTTGAAGAATTAGTTAAGCATATTCAATCATTATTAATTGAGAATAATTCTTCTTGGTTACGTTTAAATTTTGCTCGAGTTTACCAAACTAGCTTTAAATATAACAATCTCGATGCTTTACAAAACTTCTGTGCTAATATTATTGCAAAATATCCAAATATTATTTTTGATTCTGAAGAATTCGTTAATCTTTCTGAAAATATTCTAGTCTTTATCTTAAAACTTGATAATTTACAAATGGAAGAAGGATTGATTTGGGATTATGTTATTAGATGGGGAATTGCTCAAAATCCTTCCTTAACCCCTAATCCTGAACAATGGTCCGATGCAAACTTTTTAATTATGAAAAATACACTCAAAAATTGTCTTCCTTTAATTCGTTATTTTCAAATTTCTGGAAAAGATATTTTTAAGAAAGTTCGACCTTATCAGAAAATTATTGACCCAAATTTATGGGCAGATATTGAAATGAAATTTATGATTCCGGACCAGGCCATTACTTCTCAAATTTTACCTCCTCGTAATTCTTTATTAACATCACTACCTTCACGGTTTGATCAAACATTAACTGATCAAACATTAACTATAAATAAAGCATATGAATTAAAAAAACGAGGAAAATTTTATTTTAAAATGAAAAAATATAATGAAGCACTTGCAGATTTAAATAAGGCATTAGAAATTATATCAAATAATGAATTGACATCAGGATTAATATTAAGTATTCGAGGAGAAACGTATTTCATGATGGGTAAATATGAAGAAGCACTTGTCGATTTAAATGAATCAATTGAAATATTAGATTTTAACCCAGAAATGTTTGCAGCTCGAGGATTAATACATTTTTTAGTGGGTCGATATAAAGAAGCACTTATAGATTTTAATAGATCTTTAGAAACTGATTCAAATAATAATTTTTGTTTGATACTTAGAGGGGAAATTTATCGCATAATGGGAAAATACGAAGAAGCACTTGCAGATTTAACTAAAGCTGAAACCGATAGTTTTTTACTATTGGGAATTCGAGGATTAATTTATAGCTTGATGGGTAGATATGAAGATGCACATACAGATTTAAACGAATTTAAGAATGAATTATTGGCGATTAATCCAAACGATATATCTATGCTTTCTGCTCGAGGATTCTTTTATTTTTTAATGGGCCGATATAATGAAGCACTTGCAGATCTTACTAAATCAATTGAAACTGAGAAAAATGATTCAGACAATCTCATGTATCGAGGAGAGATTTATCGCATAATGGGAAAATACGAAGAAGCGCTTGCAGATATAAATAGGTGTTTAAATATTGAACCTGAAAATTTAGTTGCATTGGGAATTCGAGGATTGATATATCGTTCTATGAGCAGATATGACGAAGCACATACATCATTAAATTTATTAAACAAATTTTTAGAATTGGAGTTACATTATTCACGGACTTTATTAGGACGAGGAAAAACTTATCTCGCAATGGATAGATATGAAGAAGCACTTGCAGACTTAACCAAAACATTAGAATTTATGCCAAATAATGTATTGACTTTGGTATATCGCGGAGAGACTTATCGCATGATGAGCAGATATAAAGAAGCACTTACAGATATAACCAAATCATTGGAAATTTGTCCAAACGATGTAGGAGCATTAGAAGCTCATAAGAAACTTATGGCAGATATGAGAAAAATAGAAAAGTGATAAGATTAATTATCTTTATATATATTTAATTTAAAGGGGACAATACAATTATATTAATTATGTTTTACCGTTTTATTTGTATTTTTTATAAATCTTATAAAGTAGAATTTTTGTCTATTAATGAACTTTAAAAGAGAAAATGTATATTTATTTAATTTGTAAAGTGATAGCAAAAGTTTCGATGCCATATAATATAGTAATACCGGTTATAGATATATAATTTGATTTAGTTATATCAAAAAAAAAAATTCATATCTCAAAAATTCGCTTATGAAACCACCTTCAAAATAAATTCCTTGCTAAATTTTGCATATTTTAGTGCCTAGATAAAATCCCAGGCCTCGCCCTAACCCTAAAGTAAATGAAATGTGATTTTTTTTTGTTTTATCGTTATTAATTTTACGTGATGATCGCCAGTAGTAATTTTTAAAATAGAATAGAAAACAACTCGAATGTTTTTCTGGATCAGAATACATTTTGTATTTATGCGTAACTTAGTACGAATGATAAACTTGTTTATTTATATTGTTTGAATTACTCCCCGATTCGTGATCAGCGAAACATTTACCGTAAATACTCTTTTTTGGTTCGATCTACGTTGCGGATTAGGAAAAACATTCATGTTGTTTTTAATACTATTGGCTATTAGATACTCTTTAACGAGATTCGATACTTTGAATCTAATAAATTACTAGGATTGCAACCCACCCACCCACCTTAGGAGCGTATGCCTATATATATATTTTGTTAGCATTCCCGTGATATTCGATAACCTGTAAATTTGATGTTTATTTTTGTTAATCGGGTAATAAGCCCACGATAATTATTAAAGTAGATTATTACTTGAGATAGCGATATGTATGATTAAATCGTCATTTATAAGCTTGTGCTAGAAGATGGTTTATCCGATAGATTTATCTAAGCTTTAAAAAAAAAAAAATTATTTTAAGCTTTACCGTTTTTTTTTTTAACCGATTATGGATATAACCTAGTGATGTACCATTTATAGAGATAGGCAAAATGTGCTTTTTGCTAATCACCATGCAGATTCACTTTGTACATGATTTTATGTTTTACTTATTAATAGTGTACGTTGTCATCTACATGGTACTACATGGTAATCGCGAAATGCGCATTTTTTTATTTCTAGCCATTTATATGATACCCTAATTTTTTTCGCGTACAGTACGTGGGAAGGGGGCGGTTTGGCTACTGGATCTCTCATGACTAAAATGTATATATAGGCATACGCTTCTAAGGTGGGTGCAATCCTCTAATTTATTAGATTCAAAGTATCGAATCTCATTAAAGAGTATCTAATAGCGAATAGTATTAAAAACAACATGAATGTTTTTCCTAATCCGTAACGTAGATCGAACCAAAAAAGAGTATTTACGGTAAATGTTTCGCTGATCACGAATCGGGGAGTAATTCAAACAAATAAATAAACAAGTTTATCATTCGTACTACGCACTAAGTTACGCACAAATACAAAATGTATTCGGATCCAGAAAAACATTCTAGTTGTTTTCTATTCTATGTTAATTTACCAGATGACTTGCGGATTATCAATTAAAACTTTTTTAATAAAACTAATAAAATATATCTTGAAAAATATTTTTTTTATAAAAAGTATACAATTAAATTTAATATTTAAAGATTTATTTTAAATATAACATTTTAAAAACAATTTCAGAGCAAATTTGTAGGAGAAACGGTTTAAGGGATAGAAACATTATTAACAAAATTTTGAATTAATGTAATATTAAGAACTGTAATATTAAAAATTCTAATAATTCTAAAATTATGTCTAGTCTAATAATTTTTAAGATATGAAATTAAAAATTCAAATAGGCAAGAAATTATTTATTACAAACAAAAATGCTAACATAGTAATTTACATTATATAATTATGTTCGTGTATAATGAAACTACTTTGTTTTCATATTATTGCCGGAAAATTATTCTACATAATTAGAGAAATTTATTTAGTATAAATTTTATAAATTTGTTCTTATCGTTAAAGTCTGACTTGGTATTCTCACCATATCTATTTTTTCCACTCTTTCCACTCTTTCCATTCTTGTTGTAGTTGGCGTTGTGGTTTTCGTTGTTGTTTTTGTTGTTGTTTTTGTTGTAGTTGCCATTGTGGTTTTCGTTGTTGTTTTTATTGTGGTTTTCGTTGTTGTTTTTATTGTGGTTTTCGTTGTTGTTTTTGTTGTGGTTTTCGTTGTTGTTTTTGTTGTCGTTGCCGTTGTGGTTTTTGTTGTCATTGCCGTTGTGGTTTTTGTTGTCGTTGCCGTTGTGGTTTTTGTTGTCGTTGCCATTGTGGTTCATGTTGTTGTTTTTGTTGTCGTTGCCGTTATTGTTTTTGTTGTCGTTGCCGTTGTGGTTCATGTTGTTGTTGGCGTTGTTGTTGCCGTTGTTGTTGGCGTTGTTGTTGCCGTTGTTGTTGGCGTTGTTGTTGCCGTTGTTGTTGAAGTTGTTGTTGCCGTTGTTGTTGAAGTTGTTGTTGCCGTTGTTGTTGCCGTTGTTGTTGCCGTTGTTGTTGCCGTTGTTGTTGCCATTGTTATTGAAGTTGTTATTGAAGTTGTTATTGAAGTTGTCGTTTTTGTTGTTGTTTTTGTTGTTGTTTTGTTGTTGTTTTTGTTGTTGTTGTAGTTGTTGTTGTAGTTGTTGTTTTTGTTGTTGTTGTAGTTGTTGCCTACATTATTTCCATACCTTGCTGATTTATGATTAGAGACATTTCATTTATATAATAGATTAGCGGAATTATAGATTTAACTCGTATATAAAAAATTAAAAAACCTTATTTAAACTTACAATTTTTTTTGTCAGTGCCGTAATAACCTGCATAATCTAATAATTAGAGAGAAGTTTTATTTAGTTTATAGATAATTGTACAATTGATTAGTATAAAATTATAAATTATTATAAAATTTAATCAATATTAATTTACTCACTTTTGGAGGCTAATAATTTAAAAATTCATTAATGATAAATTATTATAATAAAAATTTTCAATTTTTAGAAATTAGTGTTGTACTCACGTGTATTATAGGTTCCATAGCGATAGTTTTCAGGGTATCCGTGCACTAATAATTTAAATTATTGGAAAAATTTATTAGAAAAATGTGATGACCAATAAATCACGGGATCATAGATTAAATTATAAACCTACCTTCACTACCTTTACTACTTTTACCTTCACTACCTTTACCACTTTTACCGGGCATAGGCATGGCTAAAGTAAAGGTGATGGCAATAAGAACCAAAGCGATGGAAAGGATTAAAGATAATTTGGCCATTTTAAAGTAATTTTTTTTCGGAATTAAAGGAAATATTTGGGGATTTTTTTTTCGAAATTGAAGTATGAAAGCAGAAGAAATATTATATATCAAGATTCTGCAAATGAGAGTGATGAGGGAAGAAAGAGTGAATCGTTACGATTTATATATTTTCTTGAAATGCATAGTTTTGTAATGCTAAAAGCATTAAATATAACATAATGCGGACGCATGTGGAAATGTTGAGATATTATTAGGAATAAAATATAAATTCATCGTTTGTCGATTGAAATTAATCTCAAGAATAACTTTGATGCTATAATAAGTTCACAAACACTGCACGTAATAAAGAGTTACTTGCAGTTGGGAAAGAATTATTGGCATACATACACAAGCTAACATTGTTGGGAGAGCATTAGCATACATGCCAAGCTAACCCTGATGATAGACGTGAATAGAGGAATTGGCATTCATAAATTTAAGACATGAACTTTATTATCATAGCTAAAAATTTACAGTATTATTGTACTTAAAGACAAGATTATTAGATGTATACATTTAAAAGGCTTACATAACAATAACAATTTTGGCAAAGAAAAGGGTATCATCATAAAAGGTATTAAATTTTTTATCATGTCCAAACTAAACTTTTGCCAATGTGCAATAAATAAATTGCATTTAGAGAGGTGCATGAGAGTACATTTGGGAGATTAAGCGGAGAAGAGAGGTAGTGTGCATTTAAATCTCTAAATTAAAAATTATCAGATTAGAGAGTTCGTTAAAGCGGAGTAATTTCGTAATTTCATATAGTGATCTACATGCATTAGCCAGACCAAAATAAGTAGATATAAATAATGAGAAAATGGATGTTTATAACCTACTTTGGAGTATTAGTAAAAAAATGTCTGGAAGGCAATTTTACATATTATAATAGCCTTATCCTAATAATTTTAATTAAATAAGTGCGTTTTATCCCGCTTTAGTGATCCCCCAGATTAGGCTGTAGCTATTATGCCGAACCTTCTGATTCGACTCGATTAAAATCGAATCTCTATCCAAAATTATATTTGTGTATATCGACTTTGTTTTCATAGTAAAATGTTGTGTGCTATTGCTTTTTTTCGCTTGTTTTGTTACATGAGACTCCAAAATTTTATTGGTTCTGGACCAAGAATTTATTAGATCAGAGATGCAATAATATCTCAAGGCATGCGAAGCGTCTGTAAGAGATGGCTTCTAAGGCGCTTGCAACTATAATACGTATACCGTAAAAGTTCATTAAGAGTCCGTAAATATGAATTAGTGCAGTGATTACGTAGTTTGGTTTTATTAAATTATGCATAATTTATACATATCTAAAAATATTTAATGCATGTAGGGCGCTTTCCCATTTATTTGTTTAATGTGCTAGTTTTCTTCATTATTTTTGGATAATTAATTTCGCTGCTCCCGACCAATCGTAACAATTCTTTAATAAAAATCCTTGAGCTTATTTTTATACGTATTCGTTTTTGAATTGAAAATGATTGTAAATTGCTATAACAGTAAAATCATTACACACTACAAATGGGTTGTATTACGAAAATTATTGCGATTTTTAAATAAAATACAGACTTGTGATTGGCTAAAGATTACATAATCAATTTTTATACCTTTGTTTAATATCGTTATGTTTTTGGAACTTTGAACGAAGATATTTCAATGTTTAAGATCATTTTCGAATCCTATTAATTTGCAGTATTCGAAAATAACTTTAAATATTAAAAATGAAAAGGACATTATAACAATATCTTTGTTCAAAATTTTTGAAAAAGTATTAAAAAAAAAAAAAATCCCCAGGAATTTTTATTATCACTTGATTAACCATCACAAAACATAGGGCGCCTTACAACTGTTTTCAAAAAGGTGTGAACAACGATTTCCATATACCTTATATGGGAATCAAAAGAATCTTAAAATTCTGATTAGGAAAATCCAAATAGAGCGGGTCTTTAAAACTCCGGAAATCTGGGAAATATCATAAATTTCCCTTGATATGGTGATCTACGTTCGTTCACACCTTTTTGAAAATAGCTGTAATCAATGAATCAAAAAGTATCGGGGAATAAATTTTACTTAGCAGAAAATATTT